CTAAGGACACTGAGATCGCACCGTGCAGTGGTTTTCAACCTTCCTATCACTGCGACCATTTAGCACAATTTCTCTAAAATTACCTTTGTTGCTACATCATAACTATAATTTTGCTACTGTTATGAATCTCAGTGTAAACACCTGATCTGCAGGATGGTCTTAGGTGACCCCTGTGAAGGTCATTCGACCCCCAATGGGGTTGCTACCTGCAGGTTAGAACCACTGGCTTAGATGGTCGAGTTAACCTGTTTCAGGATAGTGGTGAATGGTAGAAAAATCCCAGTTCCCCACCCCAGGCTGGTCAGCATTTTATTGATGGTGCTACCTGCAGTATTGCTCCCAGTTTCTTCCTTTCTGAGCTTACCTACCCTGGAGCCAGTTGCCATAGTTAACATTCGTTCTTTGAAGCTCTATCTGTGTTCCTTTCCTGTCTGGCCTGTCTCGGCGAGCTCCCTCCCAAGGGACCCTGCCCAGTGACTCTGGAGCTAGTGGGAAGTTTGGGAACTTGTCCACATGTGTAGCTGTAAGCTCTCTGGAAATGTCAGCAGAGAGGAAAGTGCACAGGTTTCAGTAGCAGGGGAAGACATTAATCCTCCCACAAATTAATTACACCGTGGGCTTTGCATGTGATTACCCCACATTAGCAGGGCTATTTGTAATCACACCAGCTTCCTAGACTTCAGCAAATATATTATCTGTAATGTGTACCCCTTTGGCCCTTTCTAACCCCATTTGTAGCCATACTCAGGACATAACAGCGGCCCCATAGAACCTCTTGCCTTTCTCTCCCTGAGCAAGCTCAGAGAGTGTCAGGGACAGCAAAGGCCTAACATTACCATGACCTCCTGTGGTCACAGCTTTGAGGCTGGAGCCAGGGAAAGGGAGAGGGAGCGTCTGGGTTTCTCACTTCACATCCTTTTTTTTTTTTTTTCTTTAAAAAAAGACACTTATTTTTCATAATTTAAAATCCTGCCTAAGTCTGCAAGCATTAGGATTCCAAGACTATGACTGAGTATTAGTGTGTGTCTGCTTTAAATGTCAAGAGAGTCTTTAATAACAACATGCAAGGAATGTTAAGATGGTGACAGAACACAATAAAAGTAGGGGAATTCTTGAGTTGGGGTAAAGTGAGCCATGGGTCACTTTCTGAACATGGTAGTTGATGGTTAAGACATCTTTACAAGTTTTGTTCTGGTGCTGAATTCAGAGAGTGTGTGATCGGCTGTGGACAGGGTATGGAGTTACTGCTTGGTCACTGACCAGATCGGTGCAAGAGCTTAAGTTGTGTTGCTGCCTTCCAGAGACTCCTGTTTAGGGTGTGTGTGTTTTATTTCTGACCCCTTGATCCATTTTGCTTTGATCATACACAGTTCAGAGAGCAGTGTTCTTCCTGTCAAAGTCAGGTTTGACTGTTGGATCATCGCTGCATGAAAGCATGCTTTGAAAGTGAGGTAGTCACTGTTGAAGTCCGTGGAAGGGTAGGGTCACCCAGACATTTTTTTTTTTTTTTTGCTTTCGCTTGGACTCTTGTGGCCCTTACAAAAACCCAGGCTATCTTGAGAGGCTGTCTCTTTGCTATCTTGAGAGGTAGTTTAGCAGGCTTAAGCAAAGCATTGGAGTTTGGAGGTGGTCTCTTTGGGAACATCTCAATCTACTGCCCCTCAGGTAGAGTGCCTGCCACCACTGTCAACCCCAGTTCCTTTAGGACAGTGGTGTTGGAAGTCAGAGTGAGGAGTGGTACATGGGAGAATTTTTATGTTCAGGTAAGGTCCCAGGGGAAGTTTGAAAATCAGGCCATTTGGGTAAAGTCAGACCTAGCATTTATAAAGGAGGATTCTGGTCTTACTTTTTTCCTTTCTTGGTTCCATGGCTTAACAGGTATCCATCCTGTGTGCCTCAGTTTTCCCAATTACAGAACGCAACTCAAGTAACCCCAGAGCCACAGTGATCTCTTTATCTGTCCCTACAAACTGTTGCATTTTTACATACTCACTCTCACTCATTTCAGTGGAGTCCTGTGGCAGTCCAACAAGAGCTGCCTTTAAATCAGAGTTTGGGAACCCCAAACTCTGCTCCCTTCTCTCTTTGACAAAAGCATGTGCTAGATCCCCCCAAGTTTGCTCTCTGCAGACACTGAGCAGAGCACCTAGCCTTTGGCATTTATAAGTGGTGTTGGAGCAGCGCACTGAGTTCTGAGCTTCCACCGCATTGCCTACCTAAAACCCGGTATGATGCTTAGGTGATAGAAAGGGGTGGCCTATATCATCCAATAGAGAAAAATCATTTGCCCAGAACTGAGGGCAAGATCAGTCTACCAGACTCACGCACCATCTTCCCTGTGCTTTCTGACCTGTTGTAGCGTCTTTGAAACCCAGAACTTATTTCTCCCTTTGCCCAGATCCACAGCTGACTCCATGACACCCCATTGTGTGGATTCTGATTCCAAAGATATACCCAGCCAGTGTAGACTAGACTGATTTAATTTCTCCTAAAAAAAAAAAAAAAAAATTACAGCAGGTATTTTTAACCTCCATGAAGCATTCATTAGTCGCTGCACTGAGCTTGCTCTCTGCGGAACTCATGTTCAGAACAACCTACGAGTTCAGAGATGAGTATTCCATATTTAGAAGGAAAAAAAATTGAAATGCTCAGAAGGATTATCGAATGTGCTCAGAGGCCAGAATTTGAACACAGCACAGTAGGAGAGCGTATCCATAATCTGCTTCTATTGTGTCATCTTTCAAGAGAGTTGGCACACAGGAATGCCCTCTTATGAAACCCATCATCCTGCCTGTGTGCCAGCTCTTGGGGAAATGTTAGAAACAATTCTCGTTGGGTATCACAACAAGCTTTTATTTTTATTTTTTTTAATTTGCCAGCCAGATTGCTAGTTAACCTGTGCAGTTTCTCAACCCCCTTTTTTTTCCTTTGGCCTTTCATGGAATTCCAAGGGAAGAGGTAATAATACAGAGGGTATATTTCCTGCTGTAAGAAGTCTGTATTCTCACATTATGAAATGGAATGGTGCTGGAAAAGAGAGTGCAGAGAAGTTGTGGGATGTGCTCCTAGTGCAGTGAACTTCAGGAGATGGATGTGGCCCTCTGCACACACTGTCATTGCTCATGTCTGTTGGAAGGTCAGACCTGGTGGCTACGGAGAGGATCTTGCTTGGTGCTGGGCTTTTAGCTTTTTTTCCCTTTACCATACTTATTCCTTGTAATTGCTACATCGGAGACGTTTACCCCCAAATTAAGTCACAATTAATATTCAGCAGACTCTTCAGTAAATATCACCTCTCGCCCTTTAATTTGTGTTGTTCGGCATGGGCCAGTCTACTAACTTCATGGTTTTAGAAAGAGTGACATGTATGACTTAATTCCCTTCTGTCCCGTGATAGTTTGCAAACAAACTTTAAAAGAAAAGAAAAAGACATCTCAGAGTACTTTAGTTTTACCATAAAAAAACAACCCCCCCAAAAAACAAACAAACAAACAAACAAACAAACTAACTTTAGGGCACTTAATGTAAACAAACAGACAAAAAAACGAATAACCATAGAAAAATGCTATTCCCAACATTTTAATTGTTTTGTCTGAGCCGCTCTGAAAACCCAAATTCCTTTGGCATTATGTGTTTAGAGAATCTCCGTTTGGCAGTTCAATAATGCACCAAAGAACAGAGGGTGGATAACATACAGTAGATCCTAATATGGTGCCATTCTCATTTCCTGTTTGTCAAAAGACAAATGCTAACACTGTAAGGCTTCCCCCTACCCCCCTGCTTCTTCTTCCTAATTTATTCCTCCCTGAACCACAAGAGAATAAAAAAAAATAAAAAACTCAAATGTGATATGGCTGTTGATTGAGCTAGCCACCAGAGATGGGACAGATGCATGTTTTCATCTGCTGTTGAGCCCATTCCCCTTTCTCTGCCTTCCCCTTACTCCCGAGCCCCTACCTCCTGTCTCCCCACCACCAGAAATAACTTGGTTAAAAATGTGAAGTGGGTTTCATTTTGGGCATAATTTTAGACTTAAACAAACAAACAAACAAACAAACAAAAAAACCCTGCTTTCTAAAGATTTAAAGTCATCTATGAGATATTTAAAGGAATAGGTTCCCTACCCTGCTTCTAAGGCATTGGCTTTGGAAGATAGACGCATGTATGCAGAAATATTCCTCCTACCCTTCTCATGTCTACCTTGTACCTTAATGCTACATGTCTCCTCAACTTTGCTTTATGTTTGGAGGCCATATTACTCAGTACTTATCCAAGAGTGGCCATTAGAGGTCCTTGTCCCATATCTCTTGTGATGTAACAAAGTTATCCCCGTATCAGAATGGTCCAAAGCCACCATAAAGGTTCTAGCATCAAGTGAATAGTGAATGCGCACTCTGCCCATCCAGTTAAAAACATCTGTGACATCAGAAGATAACCTTTTATAGAGTGAAGATACTGGGGTTATTAAGAAAGTGTCTAGCGGGTACTCAGATGTTAACACTTGAAATAGGGAACTTACCGTTCACCTAAAAATGGGAACCCCCTCGGTCCTGGTATCCTAGCTCCTCCCAGCTACTTCACCTGCCAGTGCCAGTCAGACAGACTCAGCTAACTTTCCACAAGGGTAGCCAGGTGTCAGGAGTTTGTCCACAACCACAACAGATACATTTATGAGAGTGAGCTAGCTGCTCATCTTCCCGTGGCCTCCTCGTGAATCAGCTTGGCTAATGAGCATGATTCACGCTTGCCTTTGAGCTGTCCGTGTTGCTCAGGGCTCCTTGGTGCCAGCAGGTCTAGAGTGCCCCAGTTAAAGTCCAATGCACCTCCTATTGGGAAATCTCACATCAGCACCTCCGGCTGCTTGGACTTTGGCAGGGGTCCTACAGATCTCAAATGACGAAGCAGTTAAAAATGATTCCAGCATGTGCTATGGGTTGGGGTGGTCAAAAGAACTACACATCTTTGGCCAGTGACATAACAAAGCCTTCTCTTCCCATTAGCTCGCAAAAGACAAAGAGCGCCTGCAAGCCATGATGACCCACCTGCACGTGAAGTCTACAGAACCCAAAGCTGCCCCTCAGCCCGTAAGTACTGGCCCCCACCACAGGGAATGACACCACAACCTAGGGCTTTTCCTTCTGTGCGTCCTCCCCGGAGTGCTTCGAGAGCAGCTCCTGAGGGCAGATGCAAATGCCAAAGCCCTTTTCCCACCTGATTCTTTCTGGCCTGTTAGGGTGAAGACGGGCAGGAGGCTGGGCATGGGAATGACACTGACATCCTAGGTTTTTCTTGCTTGTCTTATTTCCTTGTGGTAGGCCTTAAAGTTGAAATCTAGGCAGGTACATGATGCCTACACAAACCCCCTGCCTTGTTCCTCTTTCTTCACCATAAACCAATCTCATCAGCACTCACATACATTTCTGGAAATCTCCTAGTAGTTTTAGCTGATTATTCAAAATGGAGGCCATGCCTTGGTTCCTGATTTTAAGATTTGTAAAATTTAAAGGTACGCTGACTTTATTTGATTTTGCTGGGAGTCCCTGTGTGAAAATTAATTGAGCGTTGACAATCTATAGTTAATAGCAGCAATTTTAATCAACATGCAATGATGCAGCATAATGGCAAAGTATTGGTTTATCTGTTTTGACCGATTTTTTTTCCCTCTAAATAAAGCAAACATACACCCCTATATGTATGATGTATGGTGATAGAAATAAAACGGAGTCAGACTATTAACCCAGTAAATATGGTAGCCTGCCAAGATGCAGTTGGCAGACAGAATTAATGTCTGAAGCAGAACACATTACTGAGATACAGGACATAAAATCATTAAACACTCCACGCATCCATTTTCACTGGGAAAGAGTCTTAGCTTCCATGTACTTCACAGTAAATGGCTGTAGGACTGGAGGTACAGCTACCAAAAAGGGGCGGGGGGGAGCCAAAGCCTTCAGAGCTGTTCCCACCTGTCCCTTCTCAGAATACTGGGAAGAACATAAACCCTGCTGAGGAAATGATTTGCCCGACTTCTAGGGTAGTCATGGCCATTAGCAAAGGGAGTAATTGTCCTGGACCTCTCTGGAAGTCCTCAGGAGCTCTAGTCAAGTGCTTCCCCTAGGATGAAGAGTCTGAGACTTCCTTCACGCCTTAGCAACAGGGAGAGAATGAGGCTGCCCCCATCTTCCTCCACGGATTTAAAAACATTAGTGATGGAGTCATGATTGAATGTAGCATTCTAGGAATAGGCTTGTTTTCGATCAAGGCAGAGGAGGAATCCATCGAAAGAGATGAAACTACGGAGTCTCATAGGGCCCTCAGCAGGTGATGGGGCCTCGGACTAGCGAGGAGCACCGTACATGTAAGCCCACATGGGCACAAGAGGACCCTTCATGCTCTGTCTCCCCGTGGACCTGTGCTCAGTAGCCAATAAACAAGAGAGAAGCAGCTGGGGGTGAGGGAATGAGCTGGGAAGGAAGGTTTGTCTTGATTAGTATTGAAAAAAAAATGTTTTACATTCTAGAAAATTATAACTTTGAAGGGGACCTCCTACTAAATTTATTTTTAACTGCTCTATTGAAAATTCTCTACCACTAGTCAACATTATCTCTTAGTAGCTCAGCACAGTATTTCTTTATTAAAAGAAATAGGCACGAATATTTTTGACTGAAAAATTAATAGCTTTTGAATTCATACACAGCAGGTTTTCTTTTGCAAAGAAGTCCAATATCGCCGCACAGCACTTCTATAACCATTTATTTAGAGTCCAAGTCAAACCTTTGACAGCTAGAGCGCTGCTACAAGCCAGTATAAAGAACTCCAAGATGTAAACCAACAATAGCCCGTCTGTGTGAGGTTCGCCATTGTCAAATACATAGATTGTTTGGATTAGTTTATGTAAATGTACTGTTGTATTACCCTTTGAAAAAAAAATCACATTTGTGTATGAAAAGTGGTTCCCCTCACAGGCAGCATTATAATTCCTTATCCTTTAACTTACACGTAAGAAGTAAAAATTGGTGCCTGACACATAGATATTGTGTGACACTCTGTTGTCGGAGTGAACCTGCCTCCTTTTCATTTATTAGAAAATAGAAAATTTTATTATAGATACCATCTTAGAAATCAGGAATTATTAAAATATGTATAGGTGAGGCATTGGAAAATTAATTATAAAAGATAGACGTGTAATGTTTTGCATAAATTTTCACTTCCTTGCCAAAAGAAAAGAAAGAAAAAAGGCCCCATCCATATTTCAGACCCTTGATGCTTTAAACTTTAGGGACTCAGAGCTATCTAGTGACTGATCCTAATGTTCAGAATATCCCTACAGCCCGTAATTAATTTATTCCACCCTAAATAATAGAAAGGCTGGTGAGCCTTTGAATGAGGGTCATTCAAGAATCTGTGGTTCGAAACAAGTAGTCACCGAGTTTCACATCGAGCCATAGATGGGGGCTTCCACATTACAGCCTTGCCAGCAAGTTCATGCAGTAAGGAACTTGGTGTTTATCTTAAAACTTAGTCACTAAGTGACAGAGTGCTTTGCCACAAACATCGCCCTTCGCTAACTGCCGTTTGGGTGGCAGTTGTCTCTCACATCCAGTGGTCCAGCCTGGATCCCCAGTTCTTCCCTGGAGTGAACTGCCAAGCACATTCTCAGATGGTTCTTACATCAGCTTGGAGGTGTATTTTTCTGGGTCCCAGCATGGGGCACATCTGCAGATTTGGATAGTTACAGGTTGTGCACATTCCCAGGACAGCGTTCAAGGGTATTAGCGAGGCTCTGAGCTCTACCCACAATGGGCTGACCAGAAGTGTATGGCTCACTGGAGCTGTGTGTCCCAGGCTTCGTGTCCAGCTGACTCCTCAGGTAGCATGTCTTCTGATAGTCATTACATCTCTTCTCTCAGAATTGGAGTTCCTGAATTTAGAAATCAAACCAAGAGACAGTTACATGACCACCATAACATACTGACTGTGGTCAAATGAGAAAGACCGAGACTTGCTGTAGAGGTGTTTGAAGTCTCGTGAATTAAGCTACCAAATAAGTGTAAGCATATATCTGTACATGTGTACATATGTACTCCTCATATACACATAGACTATTGGTTGTATAGAGAGTGTTGAGTGTGACTAGGAAAAGTGACCTGGGAAAATGATGTGTCATTTGAAACCTAAGAGCCGACTATCATTCCCTAGAAGAAAAGACAGTGGCTTCCCAGCTCTTGCCTCTGGTGAGGAGGGAGTACACGGACCTGTGTGTGTAGGAGGATGATTGCCGGGAGAGGAACGTATACAGAGAGGGTCAGGTAGAGGGATGAAAGGAATCAATAATCTCAGGATTCAGCTGTCATCAGAGGCAGGCACTGCATGGAAGGGGCTTGGCCAGAATCTAGCAAGTTCTAGAGTTAGGTACCAAGAGAGAAAGGCTGTTGTTGACATATGTTTACAATAGCCAAATTTGTTGTAGTTTAAGATTTAAAAGTTCTTCTGTTTCCCACAGAAAAAGAAGCAACAGCAAAAAAGGAGAAAATAGCCCGTTCCCCCTTTGTTCCAAACCCGGATCCATTCCCAGAGCTAACGGCACAACGTCGTGTCTATACTTAACTCCATGGAGAATTGGCTGAGATTGATCAGGGAGTGGGGGTGGGGGGTGTAACTCCATACAGAAAGACAGCGAAAGGAACCATGTCTGTGTTAGGACTCTATTAAGTCGTCAGCGACTTCTTACAGAGCCATTTTGCCATGCTGGTGATAGAAGGGCGCAGGGTAAATTCCACTCCACAACAGGGAGGGGGAGCACCTCTGCTTTGGGGGCTCCTGCACTTGTGAGAACTCCTCCCCAGGCCTGGAGAAACCACATTCTTTGAGATTTGGTGGGCAAGTAACTACAGCACAGGTAGTGGAGCCTGCTTCGTGAAAAATTCCTAACACACTTTCGGAATGAAATGCAGCTTGAGATTTTTTCCTCTTTGCACATTTTCTCTCTGAGTCTAACTATAGCAATTAGGACTTGTTTTGAAATAGCTTTTAGCTCCTATGAAACCAGAGTGGTCCCCTCCACCCTTTTGGGGGAAAAAAAAAAAGGCTTGTGAACTTCAAGGGATGGGTGATCAGGCCTGGGCTGCAGGGGCCTTGCAGCAGTAATGGCGGCCTGTCATAAAGGGGGACTCTCATGTACAGCGCACAAAAGCTGTTTTGTAGGCTGGTTTTTGTTAAGTCCCCCTCCACACCTCAGCTCAGGTTTGTTGTTCATGTCCCTGCCAGGGATGCCACCCTCTGAGTCTCTCGAATAAGCCATGCTCCCATCAGTGCAGAATCTTCCCCAAAGGCCTCCCCCCTGCCACCCACTGCCCTGCCCTCCGTCCATGGAGCCTGAACTTGGTGATTCATGCCTACAAAGGCAGCCTCCAGTCTCTGAACGTTGCAGGTGGGGGCAGGACCTGAGCCTCTTAGGCCCCATCCAGCCAACAGCAGAGAAACCAGTTCGGTGAGCCCCAAGTCCCTGCTGTGTTGTGCTGGCCTCTGGTGTTTTGGTTTCAGGTCTTTCTTTTGTTCTCAGAGTCTGTCTTCATGAGAAGCAAGAGCACAAATACAAACAAAACAAAACAAAAAAAAGTTTCTTGTGGGAATACTCCCTAACAAGTCTGTTTCTGTCTGAGGTTTGCACCAGTGGTTTGTTTATTTTTTAAATGCGAGTGACTCACCATCTTTACACAGGAGGGAAATGTGCTGTGGAAAAAACTAAAGATTGATTTTTGTTTTTAGAAAGGACAGAGTACAATATTGGGTCACTGATAGTTGGGATAGTTTCAGTGGTGGAAGCTTCCAGGAAAGTCCTTCAGTATCCAAACTGAGGTAAAAAGACTGGGCTTGATAGCACAGTTGTTTGTATTTTTATTTAAAAACTAAAAGCTTGCAGCAACTTTTAAGTGACATAAGAATTTAGCTCCTGGCCAGAGTTTGGAAGAGATTATCTTTGCTGAAATCATCCCTTCAGTGGCAACTTGCCATGGAGAAAAATATCTGCGTTACTAGCTTTTCTAAACATAGCAACCTCTTCTTAAATAGAAAATGAACACAATGAGAAAAATGGGTTTTCCATCAGGGAAAGAAACCCTCCCAGTCCAGTCCCTTCCTGCTCCATGCCCTGGAAAAAGAAAAAAAAAAAAAATCTTTTAAAACCTTACCTAAGCTTAGAACCACAAAACATCGAGGCTTTCCTTTTTCACTGATGATTGTATAAAGGCTTAATAATTTAAAATTAAGATGCATATTTCAGGCTAACAGCAGAAAACCCACACTGTTCCTCATTTGCCCATTTATCTCTGTGCATGCTTGTGTGTGTGTGTGCGCGCGCGCGCGCGCGCGCGAGTCAGAGGTCAACATCCCATGTCTTCTTCAATCATTTCTCAACCTACTTTTTGAGACAGGCTCTCTTACTGAGCCTGGAGCACAGATTGGGCTAGGCTGTCTTGCCAACAAACCCAGGAGTCCTCCTGTCTCTGCCTTCCTAGGGCCGGCTTTAGAGGCATGAGCCATCACACCTGAGGGTGCTGAGGGTGTGAACTTGGGTCTTCATCTTTAGGCAAGCTCTTCCTGACCGAGTCATCACCCCAGCACCCCAGTTGCTCTTCTAAGCCCATAGTGGCTCACGATTATTTTGTGTTCAACATTTTGGGTAGACTCCTTCATTGTAAGAAGGTCCCCCTCCCCCCCAAACACCTTTTCTCAAAAAGATGGTTTCTCCTTGACACACACAGACACACACTCATGATCATCTGACAGAAGTTTAGAATTGAGGCACTTGCACAGCAGCTGCCAGGGTTGTGTCTCATTAACTTGTTGGTCCAGCCTTCTGATGGTCTTGCATGGCAAAGCCCCCTGTTTGGAGTTCTCAGCTTTTTGTCCTTCCCTTGCAGGCTACAGTCATGTTTAATTTAGAATCCAGGCTCCTTTGGCAAATTAGCAATTAGAACAATTTTGTGGGAATATGTATATGTGTCATTAGTTTTTCTGCAAATTAATAGCAAGGGCAGGGGTCAGGCAGAAATTTTCCACTTGACTGAAGCTCTTCCATTGAGACTTGGCACTTGGGTTTGGAATGGCTGCAGCTGCTCCCAGACACCCTTTTCCTCTAGGAACTGTCTTTTAATTAGTTTACCTCATAGCCATCATTACAAATATTACCGTCTCCCCTCCCTGAAATAAAATTACTGTTTCTACAAAATATTCCAGCGACATTGTGCACCACTGCACATTGATGGTGGGGTCAGTCGAATGCACCATTTAATCATTAGATCACCTCCATCCGCATCTCCTAATTAGAGTCCTTACAATACATTTTTATCTGGTAATTAGCTGAGATTGGCTGCTTCCTCTGTGGCTTATTAGAGACAGCCCAGCAGTGGGTGTGAATCATGGTGTCATCTGTCAAGCCCGGTAAACCCCTCTCCTCGAGCTCACTGTTTATTCCCAGTTCCTACCTACATTCAAAAACATCCAGAAAATTCAGCCTGCATTACCATCTTCCTGGCTTGTGCAAACCTGGAGGGATCTGTTTTCTTCATTGTCACCGTCTAGGATAGAACAAGTCCAAGTATTAAACCCTATGTAAAAGCTACAAGAGTCAAGGACTTGGCACACGTCTGATGGCATACCTTTGATGGCATACCTCTGTGTGTTGGTTCATCAATTCATCTCAGAGCTGAATAGTCAAAGCGATGGGCTTGTACCCGCTGGACTTCCTTACGGAACTAGAAAGGAGCACAGGAATGATAGATATCCTTAGGCTAAAAGAAGTCAAGAAGTGGACTGAGACCCCAGGGGCCTGGGTTTTATGCCTGCTTCCGAGAGTAAGCTCTTTAGGACTGTAGTTCTGTGTTTTAGTTCTGCTTCTAAGCCTGTAGAAGTTTTTGGTAATATTTATTGAGTGTCATTTGTAAGCAAGGATAAAAACTGTTCATGGAATCTTTTCCCAAAGCAGGCAGAATTGAGAAGTAGGAATGGTTCTAGTGCTGATTTTAGAAACTAACTGGGCATAAGAAGAGGGTGCCGAGGCTGTAGGCCCATACAAGAATGTGGATGGACTTTGAGTCTGAGACAAGGATATGGACAGGCTTCTCTTTCAGTCTGTGTAAAACATAAACAGTTTGTAATGGCGTGTGAATGGAAGGAAACCTCTCAGGGCAGGTGTTTTAGAGTATGTATTTTTATGAATGATATCCGTGGCTTCGGAAGTCTCATGCTCAGGCTTTTCAGCAGCTGAATGATCAAAGCTGTGTATCTGGGATCTTGCTACACTAATTTCGTGATCTGTCCCCTCCTTCAGCCAATGGCTAATATATACAGTTCCTGGACTCAGGTGCTTGTTACCGCCTGAGGGGGAAAAGCGGTCAGTCAGCCTTTGCTCTTCTCCACTGGCATCTTGCTCTGCCCTGTCCCTGGCCTCTATTTTGAACTTCTAGCACCTGGTTTGCAAATGTGTATTACAGTCAACTTTCTAGCACCATTGGGAGGGGCCCTGCTTGCAGCCAGACTATGCCATCTCCCCAGCTTGCTGTTTTTGGGCACTAGGGGCTTGTGCTGTGCTGAGTCAATATTTCAAGCTGAACGTAGAAACAGCTGACAGCCCTCAGCCCACCCTTTAGCTCTAAGCACCAAAACTGGGTTTTTCTGTTACTGTTCCTTTCATGATATCAGATTCCTCTTTTCTCTATCCTTCAAACTTACAGTGCAGGGAAGATTTCCATGGTCTCTTTCATTCCTATTGTGTGAATTTAAGTTGAGCCTTCCCAATACCCTGGAGCAAAGGTCTCATTTTTAATTCTACCAACCAATAACACTTGTGCTTAATGTTGAATCTGACAGCGGCAAAATGGACGTTATGGTAACTGATTTGAAATGTGGTGTGATGAAATGTCAAATAAGAGTACCTTGTAGAGGTTTCTTGGGCTTGGGAGAGGCTCTTTCAGTATTTGCTATTTCGATAAACACGATAAAAACCACTAGGTTCTTCTATAGTGTCAAACTCTAGAGAGTTTTCTTATCTCAATGAGTTTTGGAGAAGAGTCATCTCTTTAAATAGTTAAGAATTATAAGGAAGTATGTGGTATTACAGAAGGAAAGAAGGGTGTTTATTAATGGTGCTCTACACTGCTTCAGATAGGATTCACTTCCATAGCTGGACTGTTTAAAACTTTTAAGCAGCCAAATGTTACATCTTCATAGAAATAGATGTCTGCTTCCTGAGTAAGTGCTACTGTTGAGCAGAAGTCATGGGTCCATCATGCACAGTACCATGGTGTGTTCAGTTAAGTTATGCACTTAAGTCTCATAACTTCTTGCTGCTCTCTGTAGTGGCTCGGAGCCCTGTGTGGCCCCTTAATAAATCCATTGCAATTTTAAGGAGAAAAAAAAAAAATCAGGCAGCACAGCTTTCTAGTTGTAGTAGTAGATTGCCAAGAGTCATACTTGACAGGCCAGGTTTACACCGCTGGTGCTCCTTCAGTCCTCGACCTCGCTGTCATGCAGAGGAGAATACCTTCAGTTGGAAGCGAATCCTGTGTAAGCATGCCAGTCTGGAGAGGTAACCCCTGCCAGGTGTCCGCCCATCTTTCCTGTGGGACAGCAGAGGTTTCCCTTGGCTTGCTTGGGATTTCTGTTGTTTGGTTTGTTTTGGGTTCGCTCTTCTTGAGAGAGTCCTTCTAACCGAGACTGTACTCCTCACAGCTGAATCTGGTATCAAGTGTCACCCTCTCCAAGTCCGCATCAGAGGCTTCTCCGCAGAGCTTACCTCATACTCCGACCACCCCAACCGCCCCCCTGACTCCCGTCACCCAAGGCCCCTCTGTCATCACCACCACCAGCATGCACACAGTGGGGCCGATCCGCAGGCGGTACTCAGACAAATACAACGTGCCCATCTCTTCAGGTAGCTGCTCTGCCTTTGCCTGGGGCATCATGGGGAATCCGCAGCTTTTTTTTCAAGTGATCATTAACAAGACAATGATTCTTATTTAGCAGATATTGCGCAGAACCAAGAATTTTATAAGAATGCAGAAGTTAGACCACCATTTACGTATGCATCTTTAATTAGGCAGGTAAGTAAATAGCACAGACGGTGAAATGCTATCAAAAGGTGTACGTGGGGCATATTATATTGATGAAGTAGATTTAAAACCACTCAGTATGCATGCATGCTAAAACCTTTTCTATAAGGTTTTTTAAAACTGCAATATATAACATAATTGCTTTTGATTAAGTATTACAATACGATGTGATTATTAGGGAATTCATTTCACACAACAGTGAGAATGAGGCTGTTTAAAGATGGCAAGTCAATTATCACAAAGCTACAGTAATCTCTGATCCCTAGAATTAATCTGAGCTCTAAATAATTACTGAGCTTTAATCAGCTAGTGAAATGTTTTGCATTTCTCTTTGATTCTGCTTTATGAATGACTAATAAATTAATATTTCTGTACGGAAACAGAAATAAAAACTCTAAACAATTAGATAATTCCATTTCGAGTTTTGCTATTGAACTGTTTAAATACAACCATTAATCTTCGATCATTTTGTCAAACCTGTCTGAGGACTCTGCTCCGAATTCCAGGTTTTCATTTCTTCTCTTTTTTTGTTGAGTTTTTGTTTGTCTGTTTTGTTTACATTTTCGTGAACGCCAGCAAATGCTTTGGCCAGTTGGGGTTATAAATTACCTTCTTCGGATCCTTTTTGCCTCACAGGCCATTCTCGAATCTCCAGAAAAGCAGCTAACACTAAATGAAATCTATAACTGGTTCACACGAATGTTTGCTTACTTCCGACGCAATGCAGCCACGTGGAAGGTAAGCTTTGCCGTCTTGAGTTTTGACCTTTATAGAAGGGAGACTCTTGTGGAGAAAAATCCAGTTACTGGGAGATGAGACTCCTCCGCTTGCAGTGGGAGTAGGGCTGGAAGAAGGGTTTTGTTGTTGAGATGCTCAGGTGGAAGAGCGACCCCGCCCCCGCCCCCTGTAAGAGAGGTGTGGATGGAGAATTCTCTGTGGGGAAAGGAGAGGACACTGTGACCCTTAACTCTGAGGTTGGCCTTATTGCTTACAGGGACTACATGTCACCCATTCCCAGGTAACCAACAGTCATGTACAGGGGGCCGATTAGGAGCCCAGAGACACAACCAGGCCGAATAAGATCCATCAGGGGTTAGATCAAAGCTCATCAACCCCATCAGTAGAGGAAGCTATGTAACCCATGTACTCACACAGCAGAACGGCTGATTTCTGCAGAAGGCAGGGTATCAGTTATCAGAATGGACCCCCCCACCATTCAGAGGTTCATGGTTACCCTGAGGAAAAAAAGGTACTTTCAGGATTATGTACTGTGACACCATTTGCGGTAGAACCGATCAGATTCCATATAACTCCTCTAGATAACCCCTAAATGCTTGGTGACCCTTCTAAAATTCACCTGCGTTTATTCCATATGTTACATTAAGCCTTCCTCGGTAGGCATGGCGGTGCATGCCAATAATCCCAGCATTTGAGAAGCAGGAATATTGTGAGTGCAAGGCAAGGCTGGGCTACACGAATAGCCTTCACAACTTTTTTCAGCTTCCTAGTTTGAATTTGTTACACTCTCCCAAGCAAATCTATTTAGTACCACCTAGAAGTTAAGGTTTTGTCCTTATTCGTACTTTCAGTACAACAGGTGCTATTATAGGATACAACTTCCTTAATTTAATTAGGAAGAAACGTGTTTTTGTTTTCTCGTTTTCTATAAGGAAACAAAATGGGTATAGGTACAAAATTCATTCATTGGCCACATAGGGGCTAACAGGCAATTTTATTGCAGATCTTAGCCTCTTTCTCAGCCTGCCTCAGGAGATAAAACACAAAGGCTCTTTAGCCACAAATCTTTTAAAAATTTAGGAAGTAGAAGCATGAAGTAGACACTGACTTCAAATTGCTTTTTACAAATACCAAATGATCACATTTCAAAATAATTACCAGTTGCAAGTATGAATTTCAACTCATCTCACTTCCCAGCTTTGTAACGTACAAGCAGAAGGGTCACTAGTAACAAACAGTCCTGTATGAATTGCTCAGTGACTCATCAACATAGACAGTTTTTCTCTGTGTGCCCTTACTGGGACAGTGGTCTAAAAGACAACATGAAATGGTGTCACTCATCTTTCCTGCTTTTTTTTTTTTTTTTTTTTTAAAGTTGCTTTCTGGTTTAACATATATTCCTCTTTTATGAGGACTATCCTCCAAAGTATTTCAGTCTTTGTGCATTTTGATACTCAGATAAAATTTTGAACAATGAGCGATGCTACCTTGTTCCCAGCTGTCTCTCCCAAGTGTGTACGTGTACGCTCTTGATTTTGAATCGGAAGTGGCTTTATTTACTTCTGACTCCTCCACGTTCTTGGAGGAAAAAATTCCCTGTGTAACATAAATAAGAAATTAGAGTTTCATTCAAAGCTAGGTTAAGTTTATATGTGTAGATTTTTGTTTCTAAGCAACCCATCAAAAAGTTTTTCATTCAGGGATACCCTTTGATAGTCATGTCAGCGTCACGAATCTGCTTCCGGGGTTACTCAAAAGTCCCCCGGGGAACTCATTCCTTGAATTCCACTGGTGAGCAGATCAACACATAAGTAATAAAAATTGTCCTGCTGTCCTCTAACATGCTGCATCATAGAGGATTGACTTTTAGGGAAACTGAATCCTCTTAGTCACCAATTATCATTGTCCAGAAACCTGGACGACCTCTCAGAGTTTCAAAATTTGCCACCAGGACAGCGAATTACTGTAGGAGGAGAGTGTAGCTTGTCTGAACAACAAAATGCTCGGATTAAGTGAGGGCTTCTGTAGGAGGTGCTGAAAGCTTAATAGATGGTCAACTTATTCTGCCCTTGCTGAGACACTTACTCTGTATGAAAACAAACAGACAAAACAAACAAACAAACAAACAAACAAAAATGACCACAAGTCCACCACTGAGTCCAGATCAGTAAGTCAGCCAGGCAGGACTGAAGTGTATCCAGTTTGGTTACCCAGTCAGGGTCATGGGTTCTTCCAAACATACGTGACATTTAAAGCTCTTCACACTTGAATTACGTCCCCATTGTTAGATGTGAAGGACCCCAGCTATCAGTGGCCAACAATGACTTTTAAGCATAAGAAACATGGGAACCAACTACAGGAATATAGTCATTTTGCCATTGAGAGTCCTACTTGTAAGTTCTTGGCATTTACCTCAGTTTCTTGAAATTGGTCCTCCAAGTTAATTACCAGTGTTCCCAAACATTCTGGAAGGTAAGGCTTTTGCTTCGGTTGTAGACCAAACTCTTGATGCTGAGTTCACCCCCTTAGTCATCTTGGGCCATCCAAGGAGGTACTCTCAATGGTAAAATGCTTCTTCAGGATTTTCCTTAATAAAGCCTGTGCGTGCTTTGTAACACAGCTATGTATTTAGAAGTGTTCACCTTTCATGATTTAAAAATAAAGTAGCTTGTTATGAATTCCCCCATGGGTGGGTTTTATAAAGAATAGTTTTTATTCTTTATACAGCTCCTGATTTTGACAGCATTTTAACGATGTTTCAGATGAATGTAGAGGGACCTTCATGGGGCTTTGCATGCGTATTTACCAGTGTGTCTTTGGGTCGGATGGTATCAGAAATTAGGCTTAAATGCCAGAGTACCATTAATTCATAATTTAAGGTTTTTCTCAAAAAAAAAAAAAAAAAGACACTCAAAAGAAGGTCCTCCATGGGGGGAGGAGTTGGTGGCTACAGCTCTCGGGGGGGGATGGTTTAACAGATGCGGGGCTGAATGTACTGCTGTGATTTTTATTTTTTATTTTTGGAGTCTTTTCTTATAGAAAAAAATGTCAATGTTCTCTCTTTTATACTTGCTGCAGAATGCAGTGCGTCATAATCTTAGTCTTCACAAGTGTTTTGTGCGAGTAGAGAACGTTAAAGGGGCAGTATGGACAGTGGATGAAGTAGAGTTCCAAAAACGGAGGCCACAAAAGATCAGTGGGTACGTCCGCCGTGTTTGAACTTCTTAGCCCAGCTTGGATTGTGCTAACAAGTGTACCGTAGAGGCTGCTAGGCGGCGTCAGACCAAAGAACTGGTTTTCATGTTGTCTCAGTTAAAGGAAGCAAAAGAGCATTTCATCCCTCCTGTCTCGTATACCCACCAGTCCCCCTGCCCCTGCTTGCTGGTCTCTGTTACATCACATGCTAGTAGCTTTTAGGCGGCGATGCATATTAACCCTCACAAGCCATTTGCTTATGCTTATTGCATTTTATTTTCTTTTTCCTGTTCCCTGTATTGGATGTCTGTTCTGCCCCCAACCCCGTCTCCTTTTGTTGCCACTCCATCTCCTTTGCTGCTGCTCCTATCCCAGGGTGCCATTCGCACCAACCTCTCACTGCATAAGTGCTTTATCAGAGTAGAGGATGAGTTTGGGTCCTTTTGGACAGTTGATGATGAAGAGTTTATACGTGGCCGCCATATTCAACGAGGCCGTCCTCGCAAATACTGCCCCGGTGAAAACTCTGACGAGCTTGGCGCACAGTAAGAGCCTTTACTTGCTTTGTTCTTTTGTTTCTGCCGTTGCTTTGGCTTTTGCATGGTTGACTCATCCCATGTAGTATGACATTCCACCCAAGAGCAGTGCCACAGCTTTCTGCAACACAAACTAAGCGGTGTGATCTGTACATGGACCTTGCTCGTTTCTCTTTGGAACGCCAGTGCCTAGAGCGATGCTTTTACTATGTCTTTAATGCCAATGGTTGACGGTATTTTGATTCAGCAGCTTATGGGGAACCCTCCAAGCTAGGTATTTCCTGCGTGACCCACAGTCCCTGCAAGTGAGAGGAAATGATGGTTACAGTATACATCTGGTGGGATAATTTTTCTTTTTTTCCTGTGTGAACACTAGAGTAATGATAATTATGAACAAGCTAGGCACAGGGGTATGTGCCTGTAATGACAGCCCCCAGGAGGCTGAGACAGGAGGATCACATGTTTCCAGGACAGCTCGGACTTTGTAGAGACCCTGTCTCAAAAAAAACCTGAAAACCATATTGTCCCAAGCACGGGGGAAAGATTGATAATATCATTTTCTTAAAAGTCTGTTGATAAATGGACCTCATTACCTACTAGAAGCCACACCTGCCCTCAGTATGCCCAATGTAATTTTGTGGTGTTTTGTTTTGTTTTTAAAACTAGGGCAGGACTATTTTTCTTTTTCTTTTTAAAAATAGTACCTTGGCTTCTTTTACCTAGTCAATAGAAACAGCACCAAATTAAGAGCATGCTTGCGCAGACTGGGCTGTCCAGGAAAGGCAACAGCCTAAGCTCTTGCTTTGCAAAGGAGAAATAAAAGTGCCTTTCCTGTAGCAGTCAGGGTCAAGTTCAGCTGAGAAGGAAGCCTCTGAGCTGAAAGCTCCTCACGCAGTGCCAGGCACCCGGCCCTCCACCAGGCTCTCACCTTCCTCCTGGAGCCTGAGTATGTTATAATTTAAAGCATTTTCCCCAGGATGAACAGCCAGGTTCATCCCCAGAGGTATTCGCCCAGACCAACCCTGGGAAAGCTTAACTTTCCTTCATTTCGGTGACTGACTGGGAGGGGGGAAGAGTTTCAAATGTGGAAGGCTACCAGCGAACTTTTGAAAACAAAACTTTAGCGGGGACCTCTGGGTGGACTGTGTTTAACTTTGAGTCTTTATCTTTTTTTTTTTTTTTCTCACGCAGTAACCCCTCCCTTATTAAAAACATGCAGAGCAGCCATGCCTACTGCACACCTCTCAATGCAGCTTTACAGGTGAGTTTAACGGCCACCACCCCCCCCCAATCTGCAGCACAGGCGCAGGGCTCCCCCACTCATTTCAAAATATATTAGCCTCACTCTAATTAGATATTAAATTTTAATTCCGTTAAACTTTTTTCTTAAGTGCACAAAGCATCGTTCTCCCCGGAGGCAAACATCGGGCTGCTTCAGCATTAGCAGGATGCTCAGCATTTTGAATATTGTGGCAAAAAAAAAAAAAAAAAAAAAAATTAAAAGTTCACTTATTAATATTTATCAGCAGTATCATAATTTCCATCCTCTTATTTCAGAATTTCACTTGAGGCAAAAATACCACAAGTGTAATTACTCTAGCACAGCTATTAATGTGCTGGATGATAGGCCGTGGCGTCACGTGACCTTCCATTGTTCACAGGTTTAAAGAGAAAAACGAGGCTTTATTAAAGTCCATTTCAACACCTTTTCTTTCTTGGGGGAGGAGGGTGCCTGGGTTTGTTTCCTCTTGTGTAAGTCGACTGTCGAGACAACAAAAAGCGTAAGGAAAGTAGAAGTTTCCAGCCAGTCATTCAGGAAAACCCAGCATCCTAGAGCAGGATGTCTGTTGTTTCCTCCTGACAGGTTAAATCACACGTGACCACCTCAGTGAGGGTCTTCGAAGGTGTGAGCCTTGGGGGTGAGCGGCAGGAGGGACAAGCTTGCGTGTCAGGCCAGCCTTAAGTGTCTTGTTCCTCACAGTTACCACGCCACCAAGTGATTTCTAAAAATAGCCGAGTGTCTGGTATCACATCTTTTAAAAACCCAGCGCCATGCTCGGGTCTCCCTTAAGAGCTCAGAAGTAGCCAGGATCCTCATAGTCACTGTTTTGTTTCTAAACCTACCTATACTATCCTAGAAGACATGCGAGAAAGAATCTTGCAACATTTAGACCAGATGACATGTAGACAAGTCTCACTTTAGTCATCAGACACCCTTAGCCCCATTCACTATGAATACTGTAGCACCCCAGGACTGCTTGTTGATTTCTGTGATGTCTCGGGCTTTTCTTTAGGACCATAACATTTCTAAGTGAAGGCAGAAATAGGGAAACAAACACCCAAAAAGGGATGCGAGTGGGAAAAGGCTCAGAGCCTGTAGCATGATGGGAAGTGGATGAAGGAGGAAAAGGCATTGACAGCAGCCTGATTCTCACCACTTGCTAAACAAATATTGACTGAGGCCCTAGTCTGTGTGCCACAGACCTGGCTTCCCAGCTCACCCGCAGCATCGGAAGGCTCTTCCCGGATAAAAATGCCCCTGACACCAGTTCAAGGCAGACTCACTGAACTGAGCATCTCAGTAATTCTATGTATTTCTTTTTAGCCCAAACTAAATTTCCGAGTCTCCTTTAATTACTCGTGGTTTACACAGTAACTTTCGGAGAGTAAATGAAAGCCCGTTTGCACTCTGCCACTGTAAATACCATGCATTAGGAACTTATTTTCCCTGGAGTCTTGTGAAGTATGAATGTAAAGGCATCTCTATCTGGAATGGTATTAAAATTACAAGCACATTTTACATTCATGAGGCGGAAAGGGGGAAAAAAATGATCCTCGTCCTTTGCGTTCCCTTAACTACGTGACTAATTTCAATTAGCGTGCTGTATCATTACAGATGTGCTCATGCTCTGTCTCTGAGACTTGTGTTTTTGCACCCCACTGCACGCTTCTGTGTTCCCTCTGCTCCCCTGAAACTCTCCTGCAGCTTTCCAGGAACACTTTAAGGAGTGTCTCCTTTGCCCCTCCTCTTGAATTTGGATTCCCCATCAGTAGACAGCCAGTCATACAAGACAGCTTCCTGCCATGCAAATTAAATAAAGATCCTACCAGCAGGGCCTTCCCTTCCATTATCACCCACTTCCATTTTTCAAGGCAAGTAAAAATAACAGCGCAACAATATCTTTCAAAAAAAAAAATTTTACTAGAGCGCCATAACGGCGTGATACACAATTTATAAAATAGGACAGCAGAATCCACTACAGAAATAAAACATGGGCCTTGGGACAGATTGCATTATGCTCTGAAAAAGTAGAGTTACTAAGGGTAACCATAAAGCTTCGTATTTATAGACTGCCTTTTTCCCAGGGAGTGCAGAGCAGCTAACATTCCAAGAGCCGTGGTACTCGTGGGCCATCGCTTAAGAACCGTGGCGTTGCTGGCAGAGGTGCCAGTTTGATACGAAGCCACACACCGTGCCCAGGACCATTTATATAATTAGGTCCGTTATACACATTGTGACACACTTGCTCCTGAGAGCATCGGCTACAGGAAGGGCCCATTAGAAGGTGGCAATCTGTGGGTTGCACTGAGCCTTCACGTTGCAAAGGACTACTCAAGAGGCAGAGTGGTGAGCCAGGCCCTAGGGTCTTACTGTAGCCCAGTGGCTGGTGTTAAAGGGACAAGACTGGTTCTCTGTACTTACATTGTGTCTGAGAGATAAGGGGCCAAAACAAGGGCCTGCTGCTGGGTGACCTTTGTCACTGTGGCTGCTGGGCCTCTTGCCCACGATTCATAACCCACTGGCAATCAGAAATGGCTTTTACCCATAATACTTTGAGAATCAAAAAGACTAAACAGACACTCAACCTCATAGGCATTCCTATGACTGTTTCCGTGGTTTTTACGTCTCAGTTTGGGGCTTTGGACTCCAGTAAGATATCAAGGTAGCATTGGCCCCAGCTTCTCTCCCACCTTGACCGTTCAGGAGTGAAGTTGTCCAGGGAGCACACATCCCATGGTTCTTCCAGAGAGAGAGGGCCCCTCAGTTGATAGTTCGAGCAGAACTTGACATGGCGGGGAAGTGTGGCCACCGTGTGGTGTCACGTCATGCAGCCCAGCTGCAGCTGGCAGTAATAGTAACCTGCCAACCTCTTGGCCCAGATGGAATAGAAATGTTTTGTTGCGTTCAGAAAGGGCTGGATGCAAACTGGCTATCTGATGAACCATCAAGGAGTAGGAAATGGTCCCCACACTGCGAAATCATGAGATTCCCCTCATCCCTTTACTTTTAAAAAGGAAACAGATAATTCCACAAGGGAGAAAGGGGAGGTGCCTTGAGCATGCACAGGGGCGCCTGTCTAGGGCACTGGCTTTACTCAGGGGGCGAGACTGCAGCTGACTACCAAACAGACCCACCGCAGCCCAGCTCTGCTCCCGTTTTCCCTTTGTTTCTGATTCGTACCTTCTCTTTGGTGCCAGCTTTTTCTAGAATAGTTAGGACTCTTACATGACGGGCCAATGGAAGCCACGAGGCCAGGTTGTCTTGTGATCATACGTTCATTAGGATGGAAAACCAGGCATAGTGTAGTCTGCAAAGGAGACAGTTACATCTGCCTCTTTTTCCAAGTCTGTCCTCCTGAATAATAAAATAAAAAGCCAATGGGGCACACTTCCTACCCATGGGAAACAAATGGGGTTCCTTCAGTCCGGTGGTGCTTTTGACAACTGTCCACATTGTAGACGGGGTGGCCATCACGTTTGCACTTGGTATGACAGAAAATGAACAGTAATCTATCAGACTTTCATATGTATGTATGGGGGTTGTCTTTCCATACTTTTTTGCTGATGCTCATTTGGAATGACTTTATGGATATACTTAGTCGTAAAGGAAATACCCTCTTTCTTTTTTTTTTTTTTTTTTTTTTTGGCTAAACATTTTTTTTCTTCACTTTCAAAGTCCTTCATGATTTTTAGTCTGAGGCTGAAAGACTGTGTGGTATTACTGTCATCTGGTGATGTCAGCCTTCACTCAGCAGGTTCAAAAGTCATTAAAATGGGAGTGATGGGGAGAAAAAACTGATTCCAGTTCCATAACCTCTTCCTTTCCTATGGGTGTTTATGGAAGTTCTCATAAATTTGAGCCATGTGGCCATATAACTTGATCAAATCTCAGATATCCAATAGTGCAGTCATCAAAATGGATAAAGAAATGAAAATTCCATTATATTTCACTATGATCTGGAAATATTCAGTTCTTCTTAAAAAAAAAAAAAAAAAGGCCTTGGCTATACACTCTTATTAGATACCTTTGTCTAAACTGTATGACTCCAGCAGGAGACTTCGCCCATGAACTCCTTGGTAACCAGATAGCATATCCAGACAAAGCTCAAGGCTCCTAAAGCAAACTCCTACAGCTTCTGGAAACCGTGATGCTGCGAACTTGAACCAAAGGCTGTCAAGCACGGCACACATCCCTAAGTCAGAGCGTTCCTGTCGTGTTCCCGTCTTGTCCCCGTTGTGATTTTATTCGGTCTCTCTCGGTCCATGCAGGCTTCCATGGCTGAGAACAGTATACCTCTGTACACTACCGCGTCCATGGGCAACCCCACGCTGGGCAACCTGGCCAGTGCCATCCGGGAGGAGCTGAACGGGGCCATGGAGCACACCAACAGCAACGAGAGCGACAGCAGTCCGGGCAGATCCCCTCTGCAAGCCGTGTGAGTACTGTCTACCCAAAGCTTTCTGTCGCCTGCCCCCAGCCTCGCTAGTAAACACACCAACAAGCTCCACTTCTGCACAGCTCCCATATCTCTCCCGATTTCTTAGGAGCCCTGGGGTCGCTTGTTAGCACACAAGAGGACTAGCCGGTAACTTCCTCCTAAAAGCCAGTAGCTTCACCCGCTGTACGTGCACACAGCAAGGAAATGAGAAGTTTCCTCCACTTTGCATCTCAGATCGTTATTGAAGCCACACTGTGATTTTTTTTTTTTTAATTTAAATCAGTGTACACCCCTTTGAGAAAGCTCATGGTGAGTTCACCTCCCAGGCAAGCCTAACCTAGCGAGGAAGAAGACGCTTGTTTACCTGACCGCATGCTAAGTTTAACCACTTGAACCACGACACCGCGGCATTATTACCGAGCATGAATGGTGGCACAAATGAAAGGCAGCATGATTTATAGATTGCTCTTAAAATATCAAAAGGAAAATTAATAGGAGCATTACAGCAGCAGACGGCAGGATAATGAGAGCACATATAACTGAATGAAGCAGTGGGCAATGGAAAGTGCCTGGGCTGAATGCGAATGACACCAGGGCCAGGCAAGGCCTCAGCGAGGCCACCAAGTTGGGATGCGCCTTTGTGGTTGGTGAAGGCTGGAAACTACTGCCTCTGCTATACCCCCCCCTTTTATTCCTAGGAAGGGTCCTAAAACAGACAAGAAATCATGTGACTCCAGATGCTCAGGGGTGCAGTGAGCCCAGCTGTGGATGACAGTCTGCCTTTCAGGGAGTTTCTCCAAAACCATAGCCCACTTAAAGTAACTGGACCAGTTCAGTGTTTCCAGTACTGTCCGCTCCAAGAATAGGCCACTTGTCTCCACATTCTTTCGGAATTACCGACCAACATCTTATTTTAGGAAATTTGAGTGATGGGAATGGAAAATGTGACCTTTAACAAGTACGGACAGAACAGACTGGCATCTAGTGACAAAGGGGGGCAAATGGTATCTGCCAGCATAATGGAGAAGTTTGAAATCTTACTTTCTAGCATCTGAGTCTCGTGCCCTAAGTGCTTTGAAAGGGATCTTCTGAGGCAGAAGTGATGTGTTTTAATTTGCGGGCATAGTCTCCCAGCAAAGGCACCCCGGCATTTGGGAATGTGTCTGTCTTCCCCACTGTTGCCGCTGGATTTCATCTTCCCCGAAGAGTCTGATTCTTTTGTTACCTCACAGACATTCACTGTCACTGTGACGTTTCATGCCAGTATTCAGAGAGTTCAGAGCAGTTGTAAATTAGTGTATTAGCCACACCAAGACACAAAGATAAAGAATATATGAAGTTACTGAGTGGAAGAATCACTGTTTTCTCAAAATCCGTTCAAACTCCACGGAGTTACTTTCCTATTAGTAAAAAGATCAGTCACGGGGCGGTGGCGGGGGGGGGGGGGGGCGGGCAGAAGAGTAAATTTAAAAAAGGGAAAGGTCCACAGAGACAGGCATATCAGCAATGGAAGTTCATTTGTTTAACAAGATTGAATGAACTGCAGATGTGCCCCCCCCCCAAAAAAAAAAAAAACCAACTGTATTTTACAGCAGTCATCCTGGTACGTAACAAAGCAAAGCCTTGAAATGCTTGAAAAGAAAAAAAATAAATAAATAACAAAACAAAAATTGTCCCTGCATAGCGCTATGAAAACACGATGATCACACGTTGGGTCTGTGCCTCATGCCCTGCGGTTCTCTGTGCCAACAACAGCTTCACCGTGCTACTATCAGTGTCACAGCCAGTTATCTCGCTGACCCCGTACTTCCATTAAGAGACTTCTGTAATGACAGAGATTTCACTCTCGTCCAGCGTGCATAAAATTGTTTTTTAACCCTTCCAGTCTATTGAAATAAATCAAGCCATAAACTTTACAAGGCTTACAAGACAGTTGTTAGCACATAGGCAGTGCTGGAACGCAGCCCTGCCCTTCGCCTTGCTGCGAACACAAACCACCGTGTCGCCCTTCCCTTTCAGAGCACAGTCGAAGGTAGTCACGTAATGACGGTTTAGGGGCAGGAAGCTCTCATTCTGAGCGGAGCTGACGGGCCACCGCACCGAAGGCTCTGTGCTGCCTGTGTACCCTGAGCAGGAAGGAACACAATGCCTTCAAATACTGGTCGACAGTAGCTAAAAACTCACGTGTTCCCAGACCAGCCGTACAAAAGGATTACTCAGATGTAAGGGGAACGGAGAGATGATTTTTGCTTCGCTATCCATTGGGAGCCCTCTTGGAAACAGCCGATGCTGGAAAGAAAGGGCAGGCCTGGTCGGGGGAGGCTTGAGATGGGCAGTCACTGTGTAGGCCTGTTCTGTAGTAGGCACGCTATGTGTACACCTGGGGGAGGAAAGCCTTTAACAGTGCCTATCTGACACGGAAGGCTGAAGAATTCCTACCGTCATACTGCCATAGATTTTCAGCTCGTCCCAAAGCAGATCTAGTTGGTATTTGTTGGCCATTCAGTCTCTGATAAGCACTGGGATACATCTATCTACCTGTGATTGCAGGCAGTAAATATTCAATGAAGTTTTGGGAGAACAAAATACACTCTTTGGTGTTTTCTAGGGCTTCCAATCCTTACCTCCAAGGCTCTGTATAATAGCATCAGGTTGTAACCTGAGAACCAGAAATTGTTAAGTACTAAGTGTGACAGCTTTTGAAAATTGAAGCAGGAGAGTATTACTCTGGAAAATCACAGTTGGGCCCCAATAACTGATTTGAAGGACAGATTCCTGTTTCCGGGCGTTACTAAACCCATAAAGCAGTGGTGATGGAGTGACTGATGAAGTCACAGTGAAATCAGGAGACAGAAATAAGCATCCACTGTGGTCAGTAATGCCGGGGGTGAGCACAAGGTAACTTGGACTCTACCTCTCACCTGCGCACAAGGATACTCACTGTCTTTTAAAATCAACGCTTGGGACGCCGAGATCAAGACTCACTTGATAGCCCCTCTGCAAATTAATATCTCAATAAATCAGGAGGACCATAAAGATGTTTTGGCCTCTGCTCCAACAATTCCATTCTTAGACATTTATCCCATAGAGGTAAATCAACAGAAAGAGGGAGATTAATGGCCAGCAGTGGCTTACTGCATCATGCAAACAGCGGAGGGAAAGAAAGGCGATTGCAGAATGCCCTGTGTAAAGGGACTGACCTACAGCAGGCGGGCTCTCCCGTAACCAGCAAAGCTGTAATGGAAAAGCCAACAAAATAAAAAATAATAATAGCCCCACCATATCTAAGCATGTAATGATATGTTCCTCAAAGGGAAGGGAGAGGGAAGCACTAACCCTAACCTCAGCTTACCACACAGGCATGTGGCGTGCTCAGTGACATTGGTTCCCCAGGCATGAAAGGACACTGCCCTCTTGGAAATGTTCGACTTTTCTCTTGAAGTTATGAATATTTTTCATTCAGGGGCTCTACAAGCTATATAGCCAGGCCTGGGCCTTATTTCAGTAAGAAAGATGAACACAACTATTAAAAATTTTAAGTAGCTGGAGCGAACATACAAAATGTACTGTGAGGCTCTGGTTTGTTTTGCAAGTGGTTTTTAAGACTATGGGCATAATTGTTTAAAGCTATTTATCTGACATCTGGGTCCCCCCACCCCCGCCCCCTATGCTGTGCTAATTTTAGTGTCAATTGATTTTGAAGGTTCCTATCTTCTAGGGCAGTCCAAAGTGTGCCTCTGTTTGTTTTTAAATGGTTCCAGGGGCCTTTGGGGCTTGCACACAGCATCAATTATTTAGCAAGCCCGCCATCCCCAGCACCGCCTCTTATTACTAATACTTGATAATGTCCATTCTAAGTCCCTTCCACTTGCAGCCTGCCTCAGAGATGGGTGCATTTTAACTTGAATGGTTCTTTTACATATCAAAAGCCCCCCGCAACAGAAAGTCATTTGTATTTGCAAAAGATCGGTTGTAAATATGATTTACGGAACAGCTTTTCGCAGTTGTTATCAGAGTGGTTTTGTGTGATGGAGCCAGCCCCCTTCAGATGAACTGAGCCCCAATCCATAATGAGAAAGTTGGCAGCTCTCAAGGCAGCGAGAGTGTCCCGGTGGCGGCTACCAGCCGGGCCTCATGCTTTGCCTTGTTTACAGCTGACAGCGTTATTATTCTGATTGGGGCTCTGCTCTCTTATCATATTGTTGTGTCGGGCGAGCCTTTTCCTCTCCGTTTGTGTTTCCTGGCAGGGCTTTTCTTGCCTTATTGACAGTTTGTAAAAATATGCATTAATTTGGAGCTTCAAGCATGTATCATGGTGTCTCTTTGCTGTGTTTGCTTGAAGTTGATTAATGATAGAACCTCGCTCGGGGTCGTCCTCTGGAGGGTTCTTTCACAGGTTCTGCATGTTAACTAGCAAAGCGGAACACACAGCAAGCCTCCCGTGCTCAGCGGTCCCCCACGAACCACCGCTGTATTACAGATTCCGCCTCACATAATTATTTGCAGGATGGCATTCATCCGCCCAGGATGTCACTGTGGGGCCCCTTATTTGGTACCCAAAAGCGTGGCCCTGGGACCAGCGCCATCACCTGCAGTCTCTTAGAAATGCATAGTCCAAGCTCTATTCACTGTACTGTCACGAGGTCCTCATGCCCCAGCACCAGCATCAATCTGGATGTCTTCCTCTCTCTCTGTAGGCATCCCGTACACGTCAAAGAGGAACCCCTCGACCCCGAGGAAGCTGAAGGGCCTCTGTCCTTAGTGACAACAGCCAACCACAGTCCAGATTTTGACCATGACAGAGATTACGAAGATGAACCAGTAAATGAGGACATGGAGTGAACCTCTGGACGGGCCGACCCCTGAGACCGAAGATTGGGGAAAAAAAAAAAAAAAAAAAAAGCAAAACAAAACAAATTAAAACAAACAAACCACGTCAAAAGTTAGCAGTGAAGCCGTCCTCCGCTTGTTGTACAGTCTGGAGGATTTTCGCTACATTTTGACGACTCTGAAATGTGTTAACTCTTAGTGCCATCAAGAATCCCATTTGGGAGTATTTTTGATTTTTCTACTTTTTGTTGACAAAAGGGATTTGTACTCTGTGCATTGGACGGACCTGTTTGGTACTTGGGATTTTCCTCTCTGAGTCAACATCAGTGTTGTAAATTCGATAAACGGATCGACTTTTAGCAGCAGACTTTGAACTGCAGTTCTGTCCCGCCAGCCCCGGACATCCAGGACACCCCGACTGAGCTCGCGCCCTGCGCTGCAGACCAAGCCTTCGCCCGATTCAAGACTCCAGTGGACGACCTATTTGCACAGCACTGCATGTTGATATCACTGCCTTTACTCACTTTGGGTTTTTTTGTTTTGTTTTGTTTTCATTTTCGTTTTTGCTTCCAGTTGGGATGGGGGAAGGCCTTTGTGTGTGTATTGGGGGGAGGGGTTAAAAATAATTATCCCAAACTTTTTAATGTATTGCAATTTTTTTTTTTTTTTTTTTTTTTTGCTTCTTCTATACCATTTTAAGTTCTGACCTCAGGCCTCCATTTGGGCCCATGGCCTCTTGGAGGCTTCACATTTTCTGTACCTTGTGATGAATGTTAATAGGTGTTTTTATTATACAAAGCTGAATGTCATTTCTCGTCTGTAGTTTTCTGGCACTCATTCCATTTTCCTATAGACATCACCATGTTTCTCTCAAGTTTCAAAAAAAAAAAAAAAAACAAACAAAACAAAACATTCCGTTTTGGTCTTTTTCCAAAAAAAAAAAAAAAGATCCCAAAGACTGCACCTTTGACCTGAAGGTCCTCTCACAGGGACATGACGTCCTGCCAGAAGGAGAAGGAATGACAGGAAAGAGAAGAGAGAAACCCGTGTTGCGCACACACTCTAGGAACACAGCAGGCTCATTTCACAGGAGCAGCCCTGGGGTTGGGATGGGGACTGTATGAGACTCCCCTTTTATTTTCGTAGTGCCCACAACGGTGAGTAACTGCCGCCACATTCTCTCAGCATCAGGAAACATAGCCGAGAGAGAGACTGAAAAGAGTCAACAATCCCTAACAATTAGACCGTCTTGATGGCCGTGGAAGGTGTTCCCTCCTCCCATCAGGTGGCCAGGACCGCAGGCTCTGAGTTGTCCCTAACGGCCTAGGCTGCTTTGTTTGCGAAACGACCAAAAAGCCAGATTCCCTAAGCAACTTTACTCAACCGCCTGTGATAAGGCTGAGTTCAGACCTGCTTGGTGGCATTCATCTGTTTTAATGCAAATGAGACTTCATGTTGAACTTGTTACGGGAGTTAATGAGGACTGAGCTCAGCAGATGCTAATGTGTCGGTTTCCAGCGCACAGAGTCCGGACTGCAGCTCAGTCTGCGAGGCTCACGAGCACCGCCCCACCCAGTAGCACAGAAGAGGACTCCAGGTAGACGGAGGCTCCGGGGACCAGGGCCCAAGGAGGGTGAAGCTCTAGGTCAGTGTATCCTCAGCCCTTCAAGCCCCTCCACACTTCCATCTGCACTCACCTCCCTGGAATTTATTTATCTAGGGCTGTAACTCTTGTTTGGGTTTAGTTTGTGAGCCTTTCAGAGCTTAATTTATATACTTTGTACCTTTTTCTTTTTTCTTCTTTTCTAAAATTACCAAAGATATTACGCAAAGGTAAATTATTTTCTTTTATGCTTTATCTGATGAAGCCAAATATCCTCTTATTGTTGATCAAAGGAGGCAAAAGGATTCAGAGGCAGATGATGAGGTCCAGGCTATTTGCCATCAACAGAGTTCATTTAGCAGACTCAGTAGGAATTGCAACCAAAGTTTTTTACTTTTTTCTACTTTTGTTGTTTTTTGGGTTTTTTTTTTTTCTCCTTTTTTTCTCTACCTATACAGAGACCAAAACAAACTCCTGTAAGGAGAAAATACGGGGCTGCTGCAGAGAAAAGAAACCCGGACAGCAGTATTAGAGCTCCTATAGAAAGAACGGGGTACCATCTCAAAGAAAAGGAAATGAATGTATGATTCTGAAAATTAGTGTATGAATCGAGGAGACATCTAGGATAAACTCAGATTGCTGAGAAGTATCTGGCTGCACTAGGCCACTTCTGGAATAAAGAGATTTTTAGAATGCTCTTATGCCACTTTTCTTTAACAGCTGTGCTCTGATCACGGCATTAATTTTGGTTTATCTTGGCATCTATCCTGTAGTTCCCTTTGGCTTTTTGTTGTTGTTTTTCCTTTTTCAGATTATGATTCAGTCAGCATTTTTCATTTACACACAAAAAAAGGTGGCATTCCCATCCATTCATAAGCTTAGAATAGAACATCTTTGGCAATTACCTGTGAAAGTTTGCCCTGCTTTCTACAGAGGGGCGGTCTGTGGTTACTCGTGCTCTCCCCCACCCCTCACCCCTGCCCTCCCACACACACTTTTCCAGGCAGCTTCATGAAGTGCAGGCAGTAGCCAGGCAGGGTCATGGGAAGGGGGCCCTGTGCTTCTAAACTGAGTGGTTGCTGGTTAGATATTCAAAAGAGGATAAAAATCTGGTAGATTAGTTCATTCTCAGCATGTGTAGCTAGACATGAGTAAAGATAACAGCATGAGAACTGTTAGTACGCATACCTCAGTTCAAACCTTTAGGGAATGATTAAAAATTTTTAAAAATATACATTTCACTCAGTTGCACTTAGTCGTATGTCTTGCATGCTTAGTCTAAAGACTGTAGCAAAAAATAAAAAAGAAAATTAGATTTTACATATCTTTGCAGGTGTCACAGCCTTGCAGAAGAACCAACTGAAAAAAAAAAAGTTCTCAGGCTTTACAGCAAGCAATCTTCACTCTGACTTTCACGGTTCCGATTCTGTCCCTTGGGGGGATTACGGTCGCTTCTTTAGAATGGGGTTGACTCGGTTGTACATATATCCCGATGTGTCTGTGTGAATCGTTGTCTTTTGAGGGGGAGGGCCGAGGGCAGTTTTTTCTTTTTAATTATTTTATTTTTTAGGTATTGTTCCTAAAAAGGAATAAATGCATACACTTGTTTGTCAAAACATCTTTGCTTTTTGTGCAACTACATTTTGTTAATGATACTTTTTTTTTTTAAAAGAGGAAAAACAAACATCTTTGGGGGGAAAATCTACTGTATTGTAATGGATTTGCAGTCAATGCTGCACATGTACTTTATTTCATTACCTTGACTTACAAACGTTGGATGACATCTTGACGTGTGGGAGGAAGGAAGAAACTACACTTTTTTTGGCTTTTAAATTGTAACATAGTTGACATAATTTGTTTTCTATTCTCATTAATTGGAACATTTTGTACAGGTTTGTGGGGTGGGGTATGTGTGAGGGTGTGTGTGTGTGTGTGTGTGTGTTTTAATCTGTTTTTGATACATTCCTGTTCCTTGTGTTTACCCTGCCACTGCCTTCTTGACTATCTTAAACAAGTTCCTAAGTTTGAAAAGAGAAAAAAAAAAAAAAGTTGTTAAAAAAAAATGTTCTCTCCTGCTGCAGTCAATATTTTTGCATGATGAAATTTCAGGCTCACACTTTCAGAGTTTTATCAGTAAAGTAGTAATTAATAATGGGAACTGTTGAAAATATTGAACTTTTTTTGTATAAAAAAAAAATTACAAGGTCCCAAGGTGTAAAGACAATTTGTTATATTTTATTTCTTTTCTTAGTAAGAGTCAAGCAAACGGGCGGGAGGTTGGCCCATTTGTCAGACACACAGGCTGGGGACCCACTCTTGTTTGTAGTGTCTATCTGTACGAGAAGGCTTAGGGCCAGCAAAGGGAACTGTCAAGGCTTATGTGACCTAGCTGCCAATCCCCGCCCCACATCAGAAGACAGCTGACTTCATATTCCCAGCATCTCATCGCCATAATGAAGAAAGCCTTGGTTAAAAAAAAAAAAAAAAAAAAAAGTAGAACCAAAATATAAACCACTAGCTCTTTTTTTTTTTTTTTTAATTACAAAATTGAATTGAGAAGTCTCTCCTCTCTTTTTCCACATTCTAGCTGAGCTCTCGGGCTCCAAGGGCATAAAGCAAGACTCTGCTGATGATGTTGAATTTTCTTGGTACCTTTTGATCAATGCCACACCCTCCTGACAGGCCGGAAGTATTTAGAAACTCGGTTTCCCTTTATATCCTAAGAAGCAAATGGACAAGTTCTAATGGTGTCTCATGGGTCCACTGTAACTCGAAGCAGTCCCTGCTGCCCAGGAGCCTGGGTTCGGATGGTGCCGCCTGGGTTGTGAGCGCGGTGCTCCCTCTATTTGTGCTGCCACTAACAAGGATTGTTTTGTTTTGTTTTGTTTTGTTTTGATAAGGCATAAAAGAATCTCATTCTTTGACATCAACTGTAATTCCATCATTCCATGTCTGTGGATACAGACAATAATGATTAAAAAGAAAAATGTTGTGTAGTCAGTACTAACTACTGACGCGAGAGCATTCTCAGATGCAATAAAAATGCTGGTTGTTCACACTGGTAGACTAAGTTGCCAGAGACTTAAGTTTTTTCCCCACTTCTGACCTACTGAGACTGGGTGGCAGGCACACCCGTCCCCTCCCCCACACGCTGCCTCATAGCAGATGCTCCAAGCCAGATTCACAATGAGCCCTCACCAGCGTCCGGTCCGTGAGCAGAGTAAGGGAAGCAGTTCACAAAAAGGTCCCATGGAAAGTTGGAGGGGCTGGCTCCTCTGAAGAGAGAACACTCTTCTTCACCAAATTTGATTAAATAAGTTAAAAAAAAAAACTCAAAAGTTTGATAACACGAAGAGCCAAGCTAAAATTTCAGAGGAAAGCAATTTCATGAATAATTCATTGACATTTCACATCTGCAAGATCAGTCATCCAAAGAAAACGCTAACATCAGAACCATGCACCATCTACACTATTCTCATCAAGAAAGTTCTTTGTATATAGTGATAACTGCTTAGATTAGAACAAATGATTTTATGAAAATATTTTATCAAAAGTGGGCTAGGTTAACCACACAGAAGATGACAGAGCCAGACGGAGAACCCCGGGTCCCTGGAAATCACCTGTTATTTTTAATTCTATAGCTTTAGAAAAATGTGCTTTTTCTCCTTACCTTGGTCCTATCATACATACTCCAAGGACTAATGAATTTAGCTATGTTCTTAACACAAATCTCACTGGCAGTAGATTGGTGGCGCACGCCTTTAATCCCAGCACTTTGGGAGGCAGAGGCAGGCAGATTCTCTGTGAGTTCGAGACCAGACCAGCATGGTCTACATAGTGAGTTCAGCCAAGTGACAGAGCCCCTGTCCCAAAACAACAGCCAAGAAATCCTATAGGTGGCCAGACCACACCATCAGTTTTGGCTTTTTTAGAAACTTTTTAAAAAAGATTTATTCATTATTTACACAGTATTGTGCCTGCAGGGCAGAGGAGGGCACCAGATCTCATTATAGATGGTTGTGAGCTAGCTCACACCATCCTAAGAACCATTGCATCTATCATTCCAAGCACATCAGTAAAGTTTTGAGATGACACCTGGCCTTGCAGACACCTCTCCCAGGACACTGTACCTACCCATTTTGGGAAAAGCTTAGAAGGTTCTCTCCTGCATTGTTTGTGAATATACACTTCACATTTTCTACAACAGTATTTGATTTTTGTTTGTGGTGGTTTAGGGGGCTGGCTGTTTATTTGTTTTTTGTATTTTGAGACAGGTCCTCATTATGTAGCCCTGGCTGGTTTAGGATTTCCCTAGGAAGATCAGGCAGCCTGCTTTAAATTTGCAGCAATCCTCCTGCCTCAGCTACACCTGGCTCCCTTGTATGTCATTTTAAACAAGTAGACATTGTTGCTGAGCCGTGAACCAGTGCCCTCTTCTCATTGATTGCTCTGGCAGTCTGAAAGCTCCCTAGTCTGATAATTAGCAAAACATTTGAACCTTTAATTCTCACCTGGCTACTAAGAGTATAATATCAGGGTTAACTGAAATCCCCTTAATTGCTGGGCTTAACCACAGCACACTGGGAGTTTGCTGTGCACATGTTCTCCTAATGAAACATCCCAGGACCTGTGAAAGTCTGAGGGTGTGTAGTGGAGGCCCAGCCGTCTGATACGTACCATATTTTAAATAGCATTTCAGGAGCTCTTTCATAGCAGGAACACTCTTTAAAAAAAAATTCATTTCAGGTTTGCTCATCACATAAAGCAGCTAACCCAAAAGACAGGTTCGTCTATCAGGGACCTTTTACGTAAAGAGCACAAGCTCTAAATAAAACAACACAGGCATCTTTGGTGTAAGCCTCTGAGCAAAACAGATAAGCAATACATTGAGCCTTTCTTGTTCAGTTGTCTTCTTTAGCAACACATATTATGTATAGAGAAGTAATCACAATTTAGCTGTTCATTTTAGCTGAGGAAAATACAAGTATTCCTTACTCACATCAATGTTGGGTCTCAGGCCTTCATTTAAGGTGCTAGTTAGACTGATAAAACAGTTTAAGAAAGAGCAATTCATGTGATGGAAAAATTAAATGCAAAACTGCTGGAATAACCATGGGATAATATGTGGATTAGAAAACTACTATAAAGTACTTACATTGACTTTTAAAAAACTAATATATATATATATATATATATATATATACACACACACACACACACACTATATATACTATATAGACAATATTATACATACCTTATATAATAAAACAGCGCTGCCATTTTATTCCCACTTTCAATGTGAAACTAGACTGGTTGCTTAATATCAAATACATATATGTTAATTTACCCGTCCGAAATTATCAACAGTCGCCTCTGCTCCCCAGCCTCAAACCAAGATGGCGGGCTGGGGAAAGGACACACTTTGAGTTACAGTGTTAATTGAAGGTAACCGGCCTTTCAAGTATCAATCTCAGCTAAGGCAATGATCATTATTTACTAGCCCGTGACATTTTTATCACTCATCATTTTAGCACGTTTCCATCGAAAATGCTAAAATGGTTTGTCATAGGGCAGATAACTGCTTGAGCTGTAAAAATGACCAACACAAGTGGCGGTACTCGAACATTAAATTATACTGTAATTAATATAGACAGTTAAACTGTCTTCTACCAACAGCAATTTAGGTAACCACATTTGATCGGCTATAAATTGTAACTACATTAAAATTCCAGAAATATTAGCAATATGGATTACTTGATGGAAGTCTGTGCTGATCAACTATCCTTTTTCTTCTCCCTCTCCCTCTCTCTCATTTTTAAGCGGAAACACAGGTCAGGTTGACCACAAATCCTTGGTCGAAGATCAGGCCGTAGCACTTTTAATCTCGTGAAACAAGCAATTACAAATAGTTGTATCGATTTGTTAAAAAGCTTATGTGACATAAATTGTTTCCTATTTAGCTTATTGCTCTGATACATAAATGTCACCAAGTCCGATATTAATTAGGGGTCCGGAACAACACGAGGCTGTGAGCACCGGTTCTGGTCTAGAATTTGTCACTCCTTTTGTGAGTCTTTTCGGTAGTTTCTCTCCCACTCATTTCTCACTCGTGGCAGGCGGAGGAAAGGAAAACTATTTTGTTCCATGAAGTCTTAATGCCCACTCACTTTCTTATTCCAGATAAAACTGCGGGATTTTGGACGTGCTTTATTGCAAGTTGACACACAACACCACATTTCAAAAATATCTTCCTACTAGAATAATATTTAGAAGGGACTTCAGCCCCTAACAGGCTAACACATCTTACCTTTCTCAGTGTATGGCACTGTATGTGTTGCTGTGGGGGTTATATTTCTACACTTAAAATGCAATTTTAAATGGCTTGCACACACTATTGAGTTAACATAAATCAAATGTATCATATATTCTTACTTTATGTTGGCAGGCCACTTAGAAAAATATGTGAGATTCAGGGGAAGGGGGGGGAATGGAGAAAATTTATTAAATATAAGTTTTTACTGTAATAGAATATTAATCTAAGCCAATGCTCATTTGCCATTAAACTGGTCCTTTTAAAAAAAAAAACATACACATGCTTTTTATTATTTT